AAACAAATCCTTATTTTATTTTTAAACAAATCTAAAATATTAAATATTCATTTAAGAAAGTTCTAAAATGCATTTTTAAGCTATGCTTTAGATTTAAATTGATTGTTGTTGTTTTTTTCAATTTTATTGTACTTTAAAAAAAAAGCCACCGGAATATTTTTTTGTTGAGCAATTTATTGTATCGAAATGAATAATTTGCGAGTTCAATGTTCTGGTTATTTTAGCGTATATTGAAGGTTATATTATTTATTTATTTATTTATTTGTTGTATTGAATTTTCGCATTTTTTTTATTTAATTTTTTTTTGTTTATATATCATTCAGAAATACTTTAAAGTCAAATAAAAACAAATTAAAAGAAGAAGATACTTTAAAATGAGTGAAGCATTTTAAGGTATTTTTTAGTGTTTGATCGTTGTCAAATGTAGTATATATTTTTTTAAATTTAATAAGTAAACAATTTCATATTTTCTAAAATTAATATATTTTTTAAAAACCCATTTAAATGCAAACAGTTTATATTATAAAAATTATATAAAAAACCGAAGATATTTTAAATTTTTTGTCTTTGCGTTGAAGCTTTCTATTTTCAAATTAAGAAAATGGCTTTGCGAAGCCATTTTAATCAAACAAGTTGGTTGCGAAGAATTTTTGTATAGAAAAATGCTTTTTGCGAGGAAGTTTTTAAAAGAAAAGTTTTATTTTGCGGGCCCAAACTTCCCAAGAAAAGTATCTTCACGAGGCAGTTTTCAATAGAAAGAGTTTTTGCGAGATTATTTATTATTTAGAAAAGTGTTTTCGTATAACATTTTCTATCGAAAGTGTATTTGCTTGACAATTTTCGATAGAAATATCTTTGAGAAACGGCAAATCGGCCAAATCGACGGTGACTGCTATTCATCATGTTACGATAAGAATTTAGAAGGTTCTGGGTTCCAAATAAATAGACATACTAGGAGCCTTCGACAATACGTCATATGATGCGATAAAACTTGCATTAAGTAGAAAATGAATTCCTCCTATTGGACACTGGAAATGCTAATATTAAGAGTCATTAAGTTTTGACCTTTGTGAAAAATCGAAAACAATATGGGCCTCTAGAGGATGTCCCCAAGGAGGCGTATTAACGCCATCATTACGGACACTAGTCACCATAATGAAAAACTGTAGAAACGGCAAATCTCGTACTGCAATACTTTCGCTACCAAGTAAGGAGTTAAAATGCTGAAATTTGCATACACAATAGCTTTATATGTCATTATTTTAACACGATAATATCATTACAAGCAAGTACTTACCATAATGCCTTACAAGTAATTAGAAACAATATGGGCCTCTAGAGGATGTCCCCAAGGAGGCGTATTAACGGCATTATTATGGACCCTGGTCACCGATAGCCTACTTGAAAAACTTAAAGATTAAGGTTTCCGTACATATTGTGTACTATTTACTAGAGATCTACGTCTCTAAAACTTATTGAGTCGACTCTAAACTGGTCTATTATTAGGTTCTCTGAGGAAGTCAAATACTTAGATATCATGCTCATCAAGACCCTAAATTGAAACTTACAAGTATCCAGTACGATCAAAAGAGCCATTACAGCATTATATGCCTGTCAGAGTCTATTTAGTAGTATTTGCTAGTAGTAGTCTAAATCGAATATTCTCTCATGGACTTTTAATATCATAATAAAGCCCATTCTGACTTATGATATTTTAGCCAGGTGGAAAAAGTTAAAGCAGCCCACCACTCGGGCTTCTCTGGACAAACTTTAACGTCTCGTTTGTGTTTCTATAACGGGGGCCATGAGAACATTTCCTACATATGCCATTGGGGTTATTCTTCTCATTCCACCTTTGAATATTCTTATTAAAGCATCTTCATCTGTGCTTTATTGTCATATGAAGTTAGGTTGGGTGTTGTAATAGACTGTGTGCCATCACTGAACGAACTCAGTTGTGTTTACAACAAATTAACATTATGTTGGATATCCCACCATCGAGGTCACTCTGGCAACAAACGGGCGGACTGCCTAGCACTTAGTGGCCCTTAACCATTCTTTGGTATTCCACAAGGATACGCGAAGCGAGGGTCGAATAGGAATTGGCTCGCCACAGGTCTAAATCCCAAAAGTTGTTAACGCTCAACAAAAGTGATCTTAGAGTACTAACGGGACTATTCACGAGAGACTGTGGTCTCCATATCACCAATTCATCCTAGGAATATCGAAGCTACGTAGATTTTGTGACTGTCAGGATATATTTAACTTCTCACCAATCAAACCTGTTTTTTTCATGCGTGAGTTAAACCTGTTATGATCCGAATCAACACAGCAAATATCTGGTAATGACTTGTACTTACTCAACAACATACTTTTCAATGACAACTACTTTCTTTGTAAGCAAGATTACAAGTACTTCTTTAAATCGCTTTTTCTAAGCGAGCGTGATAAGTATTTGCCTCCAATGTCATCAACGTGTTAAAATAATAGATTAAAATATTAATGAGAAAGCTGTGAAAAGAGGTTTTATTAGCTTTTTAACTCATTACTGTACAATGTAAGTTTTTCCTGGAAGAGTCGTGTGGTGTGTCTTAGCGAGGGGGTTTTCTATAGAAAAGTTTTTTTCTATTTAAAGTAGATTTGACACAATTTCAATTTAATCGGCTTTGTTTGAGGCAAAAATTTGTCAAATCATTGAATGGATCTTGTAGGGGGTATGTATGTATGTATATTGGTTTAAAATGGCTCATAATCTTAAATATAAAAATTTAATTATTTTCATTTTATTCTTAATACAAATTTAAAAATACTTAATTTAAATCAGATTGCTAGACTAAATAATTGTTTGTGTAAAATATAAAATTCCAAAGTTCTAGGGCATTGAATGAAAAAAAAAAAAAACAGGAGATTTTTGCAGACGTAAACACAACTAAGACCGCTATAAAAAAATTGCTTGTGTTCTTGATTTGAAAAAATAATATCACACCCATGAAATACATCACTTGAACTTTCTTATCAATAAAAATGTTTCTTAATTTAAATTTTTTTCTTATAATTAAAAATCAGAACAAGAAGCAAAAAAAAAAAAACAACCATTAATATGCAATTATAAAACACAGACGACATCTCGACATATTTCAAAATATTTTGATATTTATTGGAACTGATAGTGAGA